AGAAGGCCTCATCCATCTTTCGATGATTGTTAAATGTCAATAAGGATCAGTGGTGTGCTATGTTCAAATGGGTCGAAAGATTTAAGAGTGGACATCAGTTGAAGATGATCAACGCTCGGGCCGTTCCAGCACGTCTGTCACTGATGTCAATGACAACAACCTCAAGAATGATGTGGGGAGATCTCCAATCGCCGGATTCATTGGTGAGAAAATGTGTGGGTGTGAAAGGAGATTATATCGAGAAATAGCCTAAGTTTGGAAGAATAGTGTCTCATCTTTCTCGTTATAAAAAACAATGTCCATGAACTTTAAAACCCCCCTCGTATGTAAATGCACCTAAAGTCGAACGTTGTGAAAATGCAACGAGAAGGCATTCCCCTTAACACGGGTATGGTATACCTTGTGTATCTGTCGCATTTGACTTTCCTTATGTCGAACATGTTTCTCCCTAAAATTCGACATCCACCACAGCGATACATTTGACTTTCCTTGTCGCCTTTGACTTTCTTTTGTCCACATTTCACTTAGAAAATCTACAGAATTTTTTTAATTCACAAAAATGACTTTGAATAATATTCAAACGGAAATTGTTTCTAATGCTTGTTTTAAAAAAAAAACTTCTTTCGGGTGATTTTTTTTTAAGTTCTCTTCTACAAAATTTTTGAAATTGTGCTTATCTTTTCTAACTTCAGGTAGATTTGAGAAATCGAAAAAAAACTTCCTTTAATTTTACTCTCGCTTTTATGAGAAATGGCTTGGAAATTGCCTTTAGAGCAACAAAGAAAGGTTGCCACCTGGATGGAGGTTTTTGAGAGTCCCATCAAAATTCAGAGGGAATTTCGTCGGTTTCTTGGCACCGAACCTCCCTTGCAGTCCTTCATTTACGCTATCCACAGAAAGTTTCTTGAAACTGGCAGTGTTTGTGACAAGCCAAGAGCTGATAGACTTCGCAGCAATCGGAAAGAAGAACCGTAATTGCTGTTGGAGTTGCCTTTTCCTCGAGTCCCATGAAATCACTAAGGAAAGCATCAGCTGAGTTTGGGATTTTGAACTCCATTTACAGAGAATCCTGCGCAGTGACCTGGAATGGAAGCCGTGCTGCCTTCAGATTCTTCATGAATTGATTCCTGATGACTACGATCGAGGAATTGAGATGCGTGAGATCCTCCTCATCAATGATGAAGCGGACCCAACATATCGGGAAAATTTATGGGTGTCAGATGAGGCTACGTTTCACGTCTCTGGCCGTGTGTATCGTCACAATTGCCAAATTTAGTTCTCTTAACAGGTTGACCGCCATTGGGCGCACCGGTGCGCCCCGTGTTTCACCTTCTCCAAGGAATGTAAAAATGTATTTTGGCCCAGGAAAGCCACGAGGCCAATATGGCCGTGGCAGTCAACGTTTTAAAGTCCTAAAGCTATAGTCGTGAACACCAGAGAGACTCTCCCAAAGTCAACGTGTGGGCAGCCATATCCTCAACGGGCATCATAGGACCTTTTTCCTACCAAGACCAAGCCGGTGCAGCTGGGAATGCGAGTGCTGATATGTATCTGGAGATGTTGGAGAATAGCTTTGAACCAGAACTACGCCGGAGAGTCCTGGCAGATTAAGCTTTTTTTTCCAGTATGACCGAGCACCTGTCCACTTTGAACTGAAGTTCGAACATTCCTGGATAGGGTGTTTCCTGAAAGATGGATTGGACTAAGGGGTCTAATTGAATGGGCAGCAACATCTCCTGACTTGACGCCCTTAGACTTATTTTAGTGGGCTATTTGAAAATTCGGGTCTTCACAACTAAGCCAAAAGATGTCTGAGACTTGGAGGACTGCATTAGAGCAGAAATGGCAGCGATTTCTCACAACATGCTGGAGAGGGTCTTTGAGTGGACCAGCGTTGGCTGAAATGTATTGATATAGGCGGAGGGCATGTTGGAGCAATTTCGAACACTCAGAAATTCCTCCATTTCTTTGCAGAAAGATAATTCCAATGATGTGCAGTTACTCCTATTTATATATTATGCCAACTGTCAAATAGATATGACTTTTCGTAATAGTATAGTGACTTGTGGGACACTGTAATTCTTTTGGGATGCCCGATGTCAGCGAGAATGAGCAATTGACAGGAGATTTGACGATCATTGTGAATCTTGGACTTCCTCTGGAACTCGAGTCTTCGTATACGACGTATTAGGGATAAACAAAAATCCTCGCATTCGGTGTTTTTGAGAATATGAAGCAGCTCGCACCGTCTCAAATCATCAGACAAAACGCTCTACAGTACTTCCATTTGCATGCTTAACTCTTGGGATAATTCTGCGTATCTCCGTTGTCTTCCTTTCAGGAGAACTTACGATTGGAGAAGGAAACTTCAAGTTGTGAGGTTCTCGCAGAAAATATCCCATATTGAATAGGAGATCTCTCTCTCTCTCTCTCTTCTGCCAGTAAAAGGATCCTCATACCAATCTTCATAGTATGTTTCTCATCTTACATCATTCTCATTCCACAGTTGCTTGAGGATAACTCAAAAGTTGAGCGCTTCCTCTGTTGACATTTTCGATGGAAAACTACACGAAAGAGCGCTGTTTGCAAAGAGCGAGCGACGAGAGAAAAGCGTCTTGAAAAATCTTTCTTATTTCTTATTTGTGGGACCCTCAAATTGGGGGACGCGATTCCATCGAAGAAGAAACGTCAACACAGATGGTAAAGGGGATAATATTTGAGCTTGTTTCACACGACACTCTCTTGGGAAGGGAACCTGTAGAGAGGTCCATTGGAAGAGATGAAATTTGGCACGTGGGGACGAGGAGAAAGATCCCCGATCGGACCCCTTCCTGGCAGGTATCGATGAAGCTGTGGTTGCGGTGGAGTGAGGGGGGAGGATGCGGAGGTAAGTAGTGTCCGAGGACTTTCCATCCCTTTTCTCCAAAATGTCACACACTCTCCCTCGTCCTGTCACAGATGATATACTCTTTTCACTCCAATTCTTCCACAGTAGACGTGATAAAAATGCTTCCGAAAAGCATGTTTATACGAAAAAGAGAATAATTCAACGTGCGGCTGAAAATATGACTTCGTGGAACTCTACAGGATGGCCAAAAAAAGGTAACCGAAATTTAGCTCCATATTTACTTCGTCTGTTACATGTAATTTAGAATAAATATGTCCCAATTAACACTAAAATGAAGAACTAGGTTCGTTGAACATTATTCATGAGTTATGGTTTAGGCAGAAATGGTGGAGTGATCATAACAGCTGTATTCAACAAGTTCAGCAACTAGTTTTTAAAAAGAATTCATCCGCAAAGAAGAGCTTGCTGCAGTTTGTTTTGAAGTTCAGGATCACTGGTAAGTAGTGCTGCCAATGCAAAAAAGGACGTTCTGGCAGACCTCCTTCGGTCCGTATGAACGAATATTTAGGGATTGTGTAAAGCATCTCTGGTCCTACAGCTGATGACATTGTCTAATGAATGAGGCTGTGCTTATAGCAGAACGGTGGGCATGTTGAGCCTGTTGGTTTAATGACCTAAAAATTTTTTTTAAAATCATCTTTTGCATGAAATATGTATATTAAAGGGGGAGTAGCGAAAACACTTGAGAAACCGAGTGGTGTCTTCATAGATGCTTCGGCTACCTTTGTTTTTGGGTCACCCTGCATTTTGGGTCGACAAAATATATTCTTCTCTGCAAAAGAGGAGTGCTTTTTATACATTTTAATGAAGCTTTTCTTAAATAATACATTTGTCTGGCCTTCTTTTTGAGTGTTATAGAGTTGTGACACACTGTCACTTCAGTGTCAGTTTCAGAAACAATGCAATGATGAACATAACAGAAACCCGTGAAAAATGATAATCAAGAACAGACTTGGTTACATTTTCTCAATCTCAAGAGCTGTTGCTGTAGCATCAGTGCCAAAAATAATGAGGCTGCCCCCTATATGGTGTTTCTAAACGTTGTCCTTCAAAGACTACCCCAAGAACTTGCGCATTGTAGGAGGATTATTTAAGAAACATTTTTGCAGGAACGAGATGGAAGCCCAACACTTACTGTATATCATGCAATATGCTCATAGAATTACTGGGCTCCTTGGTGTCTCTGAGCAGATGTTAGGAGAAACTTGTCATCGTTCTTAATTCTGATGGTCATATTGTATACTGGTACGGAGTAGAGAGGGACACTTGGATTGTCCGATGGGACCAGCGGGATCCAATGACTATGTCTTGGAAAAGATAGGATGTGGGCGGGATAGGGAGAAATCCATCGACCCGCGGAATCCCGCGGGTGGGACAAAGCTCTCCATGACAATCAATAATGAACGAATGGAAAGATGCAGTGGGATTGGAATACTTTTTTGTCCTGCAGTTTGCACTTAGCACAGAAGCACTGATGACTCCTTTTTTTCATCGTTTGGTGAGTTGCCTCTGAACTATTGTTCAATTCTACCAGGAAAGAAGGGAAAACTCAACAAAAATATACCCCTCATAGATGAGTCTCGGGGTGGGCAGGGATGAGTTCGTGATTCACATGGGGTTACAGGATGCCAAAAATGCCTTTAAAAAATTGGGATTGGAGCGGAAGCGGGACAGGAAAGCTACTTAAGAGACAGGAATTTTCATGTTCCATGAATCAGCAACCCCTACACCCAGGATGACTACAAGCACCCCCATGACCCAAGCTAAGTCACTCCATCACACTCCCCCATATTTTCATAGTGAATGCATGAGAGTATGATTGAGTGAGCGACTGACTGAAAGTGTGAGCGAAAGGACGTGTGAATGGCATGAGCGATTGATGCGTAGCCGCACAAATCTATTCTTATTCTAGCTGTACAAAATATGACCCCTGACCCATGATCACAGAACTTATCTAAAATCATCACTATTACTATAACTATTAAAATTCATAAAAATATATATAAGAAAAAAATTAACTTAAAAATTAAAAATCATAGAAAACCCAACAAAAATTAAAACAAAAACAAAAAAGAAATAAAAAATCATAAAACTAGAAAACCATCCCCACAATGACCATGCCGACTGATAAATCTTTTACTTCCCCTGGCCTGACAACACCACCTGGTGGCTGGCTGCGGACCCACCCAACCCCAAGACCTGGACTCTAACCATAACCGAAGACAAACCACCTTTCTATATCCCCAAATTGTATATTCCACTCCTCCCCATCTTGTATCCTCTTTCTGTAAAGGGCATGCTGTACAAATAAATGGTCATTGAACAAAAAAAATCGTTCCATGTCCCATGTCGCAATGCTCGAACAAGAAGCACCGACATCGGTCCACTTTTGACAGCATTTCCTGGAATCGTCCATCTTGTTATGGAAAGGAGAGAGGAGGACTCACGTCGTGGAAGCGGTGATGAGAATTGACTTTGTTCATCGGAGGACTTCTCACCCGCTGGATCATGGGTGCATACTCGGTCGCATTTGAAGTCATCACTCCACCAAAGTTCTCGCCTGGAACACGATCTGTTATGGTCAATATCAAAGGCGAAGTGTACGGATTCAAGTCCCGGTACTAAAAACTCCAGTCTATGTATCATTTTTTGTATCAGTTTGGTGATAACAAGAGGCAAAATTGAAACTAACGAGTGCGGTCATGAGTAATAATATCAGGGGCTCTTAGAACGCCCTCTTCTTCGTCCTCGTCCTCGTTCTCGGTTCCCCTGCCTTGAGGAAGACTCAGAAGATGAAGACTCTCGCCTGGTTTCTCCACGGATCCTTCCTCGTCGTTGGTCTTGGCGGTGGACTTGGTCCTAGCTTTCCTCGTCCGTCGAACCCGAACAACGGCACAAATGGATCCAACGATAAATATCCCAGCCAGGCTAGCCAGAACCACCAGAAATTGGGTCATCGGCCAACCTTCCTCCTTCTTCTCGCTTTCCTCTGAAAGTCCCCAGCAACATTTCACCATCATAATAATTTCGTTCATGATTCGATTCTTTGAATTTCCCCATATTTTTGCCACAACTCTAAATTGCGATAAACGTGACATTTATATGGTTCGGGACATGTTTCGTCCAACAAGATACTTAAGATACGTTTGATATTGGGATAACTCTGATAAAAGAGCGGGTGGTTAGCATCTAGTCCACTCAAACCACAAGCGAACCCACCACGCACTGTCCCCATACTTCCTCTTGGTGCATCTCCCTCCTCCTCTTTCTATTCTTGTATGTTTTCTACTTTTTGCCACCATCAACTGCGACGGTGCACTAAAGGGAGGCTCGCTACTGGATCCGCAATAAAAGTTCGAACATTCAAGGCATGATACTCTTAAGAAATACTTTACTTTGTCGTATCAAATGGTGAAACATTTATTGCGATAGATCAAATTTGTGAGAATTCATGGCTGAAGTTGCCCTAGTTTCTCAAAATAAGATCCAAAAATTTTTTAACAAGGACATTTTGAGCTACTAATACATTTGAGCGTGGAAGTCTAAAACTTTCCCATTTCCAAACGCACTGTGAGTGAGGGAAGCGGCGAATTCGGATACTTCGGGAGTTTTCAAGTATTTCGCTCATTGGCGCCGAGTTCGTAGGCCGAATTATTTTCGAGATGCAGGTTCCCTGAGGTGGCTTAACTGACTAAACAGAATCAAAGGCCACCAAAACGACATGCCTCTTCAAGCTGCTTTAGCTGATCTCGATTGCTGCAATGTGCAAATGCCTCCAATATTGACTTGTGGGTGCAAATGACCTTGTTGTGGTCAGTGTTTGTTCTGCTCATGGAGTGGGCGTAACCTCGATGGTTTGTCAATTTTTTGCGTAAAGAGCATGTACTCGTAGTGATATTCAACCATGTCGAGATGATTAAGATCCGCTACTGCGCCAAAGATTGCTTTCCAACATCAGATCTCAATAAGCACACTCGTTCAAACTGACGACACTGGGATTCACGATCGGCACAATAAAAGTCAAGGTAAAAGCAAAGGCATGTCTCCCAGATATTCCACCGATTGGGCTGATAATATTTCAAACTCTGCATAAAACTCTGGTCTTCATACGGCGAAGTCACAGCACCATCCTACCACAAATTGTGCCATCCAAGGGCAAAAACATGAGTATCCTTAATCCATACGTCTTCTGCATACTCAATGCAACACTTATTGAGAGGTGAACTCAATTTTGAGCGCATCTCTCGAATCAGCGTCAACTCCTCCATCATGCAGTATGCATTGCCGCTACACTGAAGACCGCAATGATCCATATTCAAAAGTTCAATATAAAAAAGGCTCAAGATGCATTCGTCGCTCAAATCCAAAGTAACAAAGTATGTAAATGGAACGTTTCCGAAATGTTGCCAATGTTGCTCTATGTTGCAAGCTGATGAACAACATTGATAAAACATTACTCAACGTTTTTCACTTTTGACCATTTAGAAAGTTGTTAAGACACTCCTACAAATGTTATTTTTTGCTATCAATATTGAAAGAATGTTGACACTGTTGACATTGACAACGTAGCAACAACAATCTGATGCAATTTGCGCTTAAAAGTTTTAAGGAATTATAAAGTTGACCTCCAGGTCCTAGATGGAGGCGTAGATCTCGTTTTCCGAACAGTGCACGTACGTGCCCTTCTCCCTTTCCTTGGAATCGTTCCTTAGAAATGTTTAGTACGATGCCATATGTCTTGCGTAGTCTCATTATAGGAATCAATGAACACGGACACTTCGTCATTTATTATAACCCATATTCGACACAGATTCCTGGATCTTAGACCAAAAGACTTTGTCTTTACAAACAGAAGTCCTTACATAAACAGGTAAAGTTTATTCACATGGAATTTCTGAATCTTATAAGAAATGGGATTGTCCCTGAAATCATTTCCTAATTTGTTCAGCCTGAAACCTGGCTGATAAAACTGGGGTCTGACAATTAGGTCATTCAATGGGGTTAGAGGAAAGTCTTTCGTCTTCATGATTACATGTATACTAGGAAGGTTACGTATCAATCCAGATCGGTTTATTATTTAACCTTTTTAAAAGGATTCCTTAATTAACCTATCAAAAAGGCCAAATACTAGGTTGTAACGAAAGTTTTTGTGCATACAAACAACGCAACAGTCCGCGAAACACGATTTTTTCGTCGCACATTCTGAACGAAAGCGCGTTTTATGCCGCGTATAAATATATGTTGCTTTTTTTTTTTTTACAAATCGCTAAATCTATATATAAAAAATTACAGCGCTCAGAATGTGTGACGAAAAAATCGTGCTTCGCGGACTGTTGCGTTGTTTGTATGGACAAGAACTTTCGTTACAACCTAGTATGTAACCCGCAAAAGATAAATATGAGTTGCAGTTGAAACACCACTTAGGGGATAAAAGCTGAACCATTTTTTGCTAATAGTGTACCCTTTTAAAGGCAAACAAAAGAAATTACCCCATTGTTTGCTTCCAAATGGTTTTGAAGCTTCTCAATCTGATAAATCTCGTATTCATCACCACTGGCTCTTCCTTTCTTTCACTCCTTCTTGTCTTCGAGTCAGCCACCTCGAGTGAATATTAGTGCTTTGAACGAATGAGAATTATTATGGAGTGCTGCCTTTTAAGTACGCTGAACTCCACGAAATCATATCACGACGCTCATTCCAGGAAGAATACCTCATAAGGCTAAATAGAAATAGTTGTTGGAAATGAAATATGTATAGGTCGCGAAACTATGGACAATATGAAAGAAGAGATCCGTACGGGGATTGGCAACGCTGGGAGGCTCAAAAGTTCTCCGAAGCCAATTCCCAACTGATTGAGTTGCAGATGAATGAGTGCCCGTAAATCCCAGACCTCATTCTCGGGACACATGTTCTTAAAATGGCTGGGAAACGAGGACATCGATATATTTAGGCCCTTTCCGTTTCATCACGAACACGCGGTTGTTAATGCCCTCCCATTACAAGCTTCGTCACATTTGTGCCCAGAGTGGAAATCGATTCACAAGAGAGGACGATTTCCTTGAAAGGGCACACATGTGCTGCCCCCATTGCTATCCTCTTCATCACAGACGACAGAAACTGGGAAGATCCGATTTTTCTTTCTATATAAAGTAGTAGAATAATACCAGCACGTCAATAACGATGACGAGTGATTCTTCCCCCCAGATTTCCATCGCCATTTTCTACTCAAGGCAATATGCATTTAGAGAGATCGCATGTGATACTGGTTATGTCTGACGTGAATCTATGAGGTAAGCAGAGATGGAAGGGTGCCTCTGAATGCCGCACTCACTCAGTCTGCGTGCACGCAGGATAGCAACATCAGGTTTTGAGATCAGAGCACTTCCGGCAGTCGTTATCACATAGGGGTGTGGCCATGATGATGATAACGTATGCAATATTAGATTTTGTAATATGGAGTTATTAATGGAATGCAAATGGATGCGTTCCCTCATGGCATAGAGAATGTCTAGGAGACATCTGAAAAATAAGTGATACCTAATGAGAAAATGCTTACCCGGAGGAGCATGTTCGAGGAGTTTGGCAGTGCGAGCATCGAGACGGACGTCTTCACTCCTTCCCTTTTGATTGAAAGCAGAAAGGATGGCGGAATAGGATATCCCCTCGGGGAGTTCAGTGAGGTCGAATCGCGGCACTGGACTTGATGCATTGTACACCTGATTCCCCGTATCTAAATCGAACACCTGCAACATCAAGGAAGAAATCCCCCCCCCCTTTTCACAGCTGGGGGCCTTCCAGCCAAAGTATCGGCGAGGGATTTGGAAAATGCATGCAGGACGAGAGCCAAAAATGAGATAACGGATGGGAGTGAGAATGACATGGACAGTCCCCCCTTTTATGCTTTTTTATATTCGCTTCGATACACCCCCGACGTGAAGATGATAGACTAGAGATTATTCAGGTAAAGCCAGGAACATTATGAGAGTGAAAGAAGCAAGAAAGCCTTCTTAATTACTCGAAGAAAGGGATTCTAAGTCTCGTACTAAATGGGTATGGTTTAATGAGAAAAATGCAAGTTTCCCAAGTGGTTTCTTTTTGCACCATGGCGTCAACTGCATATGTTCGAAAATGTTGGGGACCCCAGACCCAAGGAAATCTGGGCGGCTTTGTTTTTTTTTCGTACCTGAAGGAGAAAGGATTGAGAGAGTCCGCCATCTAAACCGGGTTCACATTCCACGAACTGGGGACCCGAGGAAGATGATCCATTCGGGAAACGACAATCCCGAGGAGGATCCGGCGGACCTATACAACAATTACGGACATTCAGCATGCATATAAATTCTGCACTGATGTTCAACGTCCTTATAATTAGCCGCAACCTGGCGTCTCCCCCCTTCTTCGAAATTCCACCTCAACATTTGTTTTTTGGAATCTAAAGCATTTTTTATTCTCAAGATGGAAAGCTCTGAAGATGAACTCCCTATCGCATCATAAAACAGAATCTTTCGCTTCAGCGTAAGGTTTACAGGTTCAAGCGCAACGAAAGCGTATTGAGAGCTTGCCGATGCTGTAGGCCTACTACAAAGGCTCATTAAGGTTCTGCGAGTTCACCTTCCTTCGAAGGAAAAAAATTTCTCATTTAATATCCAATTAGATACTTTAAATTGTTTTAGCACGTTAACAGCCAAATCCTATTTTGCCTTTGTTTCCAGTGAGGCCTAGATCACTCCGCTGACACGTGCGTACGGGATGCCGACAGGTCGCATGGTCCAGCGAATACAAGTATTAATACATACCTCGTACAATCTGCTAGCATTTTGAATGCAAAAATTTTTAATCTATCGTTTTAATGTCCGATTACGATTTGGATTCCACGAAGGTGAAGTGGAATGAGTAATGAAGGCAGAATGCTACCAGAGCCGAGTGCGTACCGGCTTCTTGGAGGGTGTAGGTGCAAGGGGAGCCCTGTGAGCCGACGGAATTCTCCGCCCAGCACAACACGCTCCCCAGCTCCAGGTGCGACTTGGGAATGTAAGTCAAGGTCTCTTCCTTCCCCTTCGCAATCACCAGGGGTGGGGAAGTGGACGTGTTGAAAGCCCATCGATACCTCGTCGGTGGGGGATCGGCCTTCACCTGGCACAGAACGTATACCACCTCGCCCAGGGTCGCCCCATATGTCCACCGCTGATCCGGGTGACACTCGGGAGGATCTGCGGTTGCACGTAAAACTTCTCATTGTTCTCGGTACATGAGATGTTTGGATCGAGGTGCAAGAGTACGGCATCATTCCATAGCAGCAGGAATGGTAACAAAAGCTAACAAAATGCATAGACATCAATATGATGATTCGATTTTTTCATTATCCTGATGGAGTGAAGCAGGAACAGTAGCAAAAATAATTTTGTTAGCTGATGATCCATGAGCATCGTGAGCCCAGAAATCGAATTGGGGTCACTCGGACGGGAAAAGATGAAGTTCATTACCGGGAATGAGGGCTCATTACTAGCGATGGCCAAGTTGAGCTTACACTTGACGCTGAGTTCCAATTCGGAGCTGTGCCCATGCCCGTGAACATTTTGAGCGTGGCATTGGTAGAAACCGGCATGGCCACGAGTCACACTTTGCAGAATCAACGTCCCTCCCGTGACGATGATCCCTCTCTCCCGATCTCCGGTCATCGTTTCTCCCTGTCCGGAATCAGGAACTCTTTCATGAACGATAAACGGCGACAGGACTTTTGGATGGACGAGTGTCCATCCAAAATGGATGGTTAGGATGTGATAAGACTCACATTGTGACTCCAAGTGATCTTGAGGGTGTCGGGATTCGCCTTCATGTCACATTCGAAATAAACGTCGTCGCCCACTTTGATGTTGGAGGCATTCAATGTCTTTCCGAAGAGAATTCTTACTTCCGGAGGGTCTAAATTAAAGCGTCAATTCTCTTGAAATGTCACGCGCAGCAAGTTGATGGGAATCGAAGGTGAGGTATCTTACAGTGTACGGATATCTTCCTGGCGACGGTGAGGCGACTGCTTTCGACGTGAGGATTCTCGGCGTAGCAAGTGAGAAATTCCTGGTCGTCAGAGACTTCAGGCCAAAAGGAAAGAATGCTCTCCGTGATATTCCCACTTGCGTCCGACTGTAACAGACATCAACCCCCCAACTGCCATTGACATCTCTCTTTCTCTCTCTCCTTCACATTTGGACACTTCCAATTTATCCATCATCACGAGGAAAATGTTCTTGCGACAGGCTCTGGCCGCTACGGAGAAGAGCCAAAAATAGGATAAACGTACCCCATTGGTGTATATCAGGAATGTTTACCACAATTAAATTTTCCTATAGTAGCTCATGCCTAAATCCTTGTAGGAGGTGAATGGATATACGTTCGTAGGGTAGCATAAATGTTTCTTTCTATATTTATTTCAACGAATCGATTTTCGGCTCGAGCATTAAGAAAGTGCAATCATAGCCGTCACTGTTTTTTTACACGCATCGATACTGTATCATCTTCATTATTTAAATGATGTTGACACCCTTTCGGAAGTGAAACTCAGAATCGTATGGAGGACGTTCTCGTGTTCCAATCGTTGCCACACCGATGATCGTGAAGTAAGTGAGAGAAAGGACAGAAGACTAGCTTTCAAATTTCTCCCGTACAGTTGCGTTTATCTTAGAAGCCTTCTGTGGGGAAAGTCGGAGCAAATGAAACAAGTGCCATCCCTCTCCCAGAGGTCGTGAACACCGTACAGACTAGGAGGCGGGGTTAGTGCAGTACCGTCTTCCAACTCTGGCTCGTTTCATATCGTTATAATTCCTTCTCCTAGAGGACCCCTGGAGGGGCTGTTACCCCATGAGAGGATAGGAGCCCTTACCTTTACAATTCCTTAAATTTGGTGTATTCGTACTCTGTATTCTTATCTGAACACCTGATTATCAGAATTAACAAATATACTACTGCTCTACCCCCGAGTGAGGAAAATTGGACAATGGAAAGACGCACTTGTTCAGAATGGTTGGAGAGAGATTTGCCGGCGAGGGTCCAGTAAACAGAAGCGGCCGGACGGGAACCGAACACTCGACATCTCACTGTAGAATTCATTCCCGATTTGAACGGTTGATCTGCTCCTTCCAAACTGATGTTTGCCGGCTTCACTGCGTAGAACAAACACATTAACATATTACAATAACAAAATGTGCATCACTATTCAAAACTGCAGTTTCACCCTGATGATGATGGAGATGATAATTGAGACAGAGCAAACTACAGGTTTCTTTTGACTTGTAACAGGTCTTTAAATTGATTTCTACAATATCGTGCATCCATACTTAATATGGGGGTGATACGACATTCTATGGTCAACACAAGAGTTCCTTGCAGATTGTGGACTGAGAAATGGCGATGAGTGAATCCCCTCTAGGACGAGAGTTAAAACAACTTTGCTGCCCAATTCCCAAATAGAAATGGCTGTAACTGCCTTCGATTCTGCACCATGTAGTCATCTAGCTTTCTGAATTTACCATGAATTTTATTATCTCACTAATAACCTTTCATCGACACTATGTTCCTGAACCGCCACCGCCATCGTAACACTCGCGATCGTATGACAGAATAGTAAGATGCCAGTGGAGACAGGGGATATGGTCCCTTGGTTCCTACCTGACAGGAATGCCTGCTACGCGTCCAACTCCTAAAGTCCACTCCCCCTAGTCCACTCCCTCTAGAAACTACTCACTCTAGACCACTCTCTCATGTACGTCCTTGTCCGTCTGTTCATTACGCTTTTCAAGTGCTCACCTTATTTCTGCCTTAGATGCTATCAGATTTGGCTCGAAGGAGGAGACTCATGACTCGCTGTTGAGGCGAAGTCAAAAATCAAACCTCAATACTGTGCTATAACAAAGACGACCCGGAAAAGGCAAGCAGACATGCCACTCAATTACTATAGAATGGGATCAGTGTGTCATTTTTACCCAGAGAAGGTGGGTTAGACGGAGGTTGCCTAAGTTTAATATAATGCAAGAAAAGAAATACTGATTCTTTTAAAAGTTTATCCTGAAGTCTTTTGTGAAACGATGTGATACGATTAGTTTTTATTTACCTATCATAAGGAATTGATAAAATACTTTTTCCGACGGAAAGCGTAATGATTCCATCATTATACATTTAAATTGCTTTAAAGTAATTGCGTCTATATATTGGTAAGATATGAGAATTATGCATATATGTTGTGCATATTTCTCATACCTAAACTGGTTATAGTCTAAACCAAAGAATCATTTCGAGTAGTTGAATAATTGACATGTTTTTCGTGTTTGACCAGAACCGAAAGTTATCACTAGATGTACGTGGGATGGCGACTCACGATACAAATCGATCCTGACGGAGGAGATCTCGTCGACGGTGAGGTTTGAATTGGAGGCGATGCATTCCAGGCGGGTGTTCAGATCCTTCCTCTCCAAGCTGCTCAGGGTCAATTCATTGAAGACGCGGTAGTCTGGGGACTTCTCGCAGTATGTGTCTATCGTCACTCCGTTCCGGTACCAGACCAGAGTAGGCCTCGGTCTGCCTGTTACGACATCAACTTGTTGATATCTTCTCTTCGGAAGGGAGAAGAAGGGCCGAAGGGGAGCAGGACAAGGAAAGGGAAATTCGTGATCGGAGAACGAAACAAAAGGAATCGATGAGGTGGCTCCAGGAGAAAGAAAAAAAAAAAGGTCTCTCTTCAGAACGTCAAGACTTGTTTGCGGCCTCATGACAGGTTGAAAGGAAAGTGGCGAGGAAGAATTTTCCCCCTTTCGAAATCCTTCCCATATGAAATATAGCATATTAGAGAGGAGAAAATTCTCACTGTAGAAGAAAACCAAGCTAAGGCAAAAACGAGGAGAAAGATAAAACCCCCTGACTGGGACTGGGCTTTCTTACATGGATATTGATTTCCGGGTCTCGTTCCACGGGGAAGGAAAAGAGCGACTTACGAAATCCCACAGGAAAGTTCTTCCTAATGAACGGAAGAAGAAAAAAGAGCCTCACCCGATACACTTTAATCTCATTCCCGCATTTATTCTCCACTATAGTGTTCCCCATAAGTCAGTATACAGTTGCATAATTATGTTTAGGAAAGCGGTAATTTGAAATGGCTGATCTGCAATGCAAGTGCTGCAAGGCTCAAAGCATAGGCATAGTGAAGTGATGGTTCAGATATGAAAATGTTTACCAATTTGTTGTGTCAATTTATTGCAAATAACTAAAGGAATGCAATACCTTGTAACATTATACTGACTTATGGTGAACCCTGTATATAGGACTTGAAAGGACAGAAAGGAAGAAGAAAAAAAGGACTTGAAAATGAACGCGGGGTATCGCGAACGGTCCTGGAGCCCAAGCAGAAGAGCTCTGCTTTTGAGCATCTGCAGAAAACTTGGCAAAACGAGCATTTCCAAGTTTCAACCACAACCCATCATGGCAAATGTTGCATTTTTGTGCACCTCATCCCTCTTCCTGTCTCGTAGGTTCTCAGTCTTTCGATGAAGAGTATTTAAATAATAGAAATGAGGTCGAGAAAGGCGAGAGGGACGCAAGAAGTGGAAAACGGTGACTTTTCATCGCATTTCCAACGCATTATTCCAAGTCCCATCGACTGGTTCCTCGCTTCACTTCTTGCCTTTCTCCCAGGGATTCTCGTGGAGTGAGTCTCCATTAAGAGCCACGTAATTATTCTGGAAACGTGCAATTCAGTTATCTGAAAGTCATCGTCGTGGATATAATTTTGCAGCGCTTCGAGGCCATAAAGAGCTGGAAAGACGGAATGCCTTTCCATCACGACACGAGAGATGTTCGTTTACCAGCGTTTTCTCATTCGTTCGCGCATACAACCAAACACGTATTGCGCATACATGTGTCTATCGAACTCCTCCCACGTCCTGAAAGCTAAGACGCAGTGCACATTTCTCGCACAAGAATGATCGCGAATGCATTCAGAATCTGCGATCGTTGCACAGTCTTACATGAACTTCATATATGCAACAATCGTTGTGAATAAAATGCGCAAATAATTGGTTCATCAGCATCCGCTACTTGCGGATAAGGTGCCTGCAGGCAATTGAGAACAGAGGAATTGTGGATTTCCCATCGGAATGATGCCATATATATTTGCGATGTTTCTTGAAACGTCTCCCTTCCTAAGACCCACTCTCATCGAAGTTCAGACTGACGTCATGGACAGATACATTCCATGGATTAAATTTTTTATAAGGAAAAAAATCTCGAAGTGTCAAAGTCGACACCCAAGAAAGGAAATGCAGGACTGGAAGCGATGGACCCGATATTCCAGAGATGGATGCGAATGTAGAAGACACATTGGGGATAAGGATCTCTTTCAATTCAGAGGTTAAATACAGCTGACTTTCTTGTACTTCCACCGAACGGAAGGGATGTACATCGACACGCCGTAATTCAGATGGATTCACAGATTCATTCAGTGAACTATGCGGACAAAGACTTTTTAAAATATTAATTTAATGTTACCATATGACGTAAAAGAGACCCCGAAGAGCACCTCTTCTTTAAAGATCCTTATAGGGAGTCAGTGGGAATGGATAGCTGATTGGAGTTTTCACCTAACCTGTAATGTTAGTGCTGTGCCCGCTGCTGGGGTAGGAAAATCGGCGTAAAAATTTATTTTAAAAAATTGAGAAATTCAAAGAAAATGAAAATTTTCCTCCATGTAATTTTTTCTCTTTACAAGGGGCTTTGGGATTGGAGCCATTCCATACTCGCTTCAATCACTTCCATTCTCTCATATCTGTCAGAAGAGAGAAGGGAGAAGGGAGCATGAATAAATCCTGGTTCATTACCCGTCTTATCACGCAAAGATGGTAGGCCATAAGAACAAGGTAGCCGTTGTGCCAGAGAACTATAAGGAAATATGGCCGTGAAGCCCCCCCCCCCCCTTTCTCTTCCCTCATCATATTATATGGTGAAGGGGGTTGAAAACCCCCCGGAGATCCTGGCCTCTCACTGTCTCTCATCAAATTTTCAATGATGGGCTTCCTCAAGGCGTCTCCCGCAGTTCCTTTTATCCATTCGGACATGTTCGCCTTTGACATTTAGAAGAGATAGAGGGAAAGTACGAAGGTTTTGCACTTCCTCTTCGGTGTCTTTAATGCGGCAGAGCATTCGAGCATTCGATAAGGAGTGAGCCTCGCCAACCGTCTTTGTTACAGTGCCAAAAAGGCGGGCAAAAAGCCCAGTGCAGAAGTGAGCCTTCTTTTGCATAGTAGCACAGACGAGAGATGCAAAATGGAAAGGATAAAAAAAAAACCACAAGAATTCCAAAGGATGTACGAATGCGTTCGCGGTCCAAGGCGACAGACTTCACCAGATCACTTTCTCCAGGCCAGTTGGGATCGCCTACGACCGTAATACCCCTTACGGGAACTCCATATTCAGATTTCGTGCGAATTATCAAATATGGCCATAAAGGGGTGCTTAGCTCGGAATGTGCATGATACAAATAATGATTACATATGGGAGACTGTGTTTGGAAGCCGTCCAGACCATATCATGTTTTGGCCATTCTTAATGAATATGGAACTATAGATGGTTCATATATAAGCCCTGTATATGGTTCTTAGTTACAATGTACATAGCACTTATAAATATTTGACATGTTCTGGTCATATTTAATATAATGGATATATGCAACTATATATTCCTAATCTGCAATATAGATGGCCCCCGCATGCATTATTAATTGGGGATTGAAGCAGAGGCTCAGAGGCAGTCACTCGACAATGAAGCTTCAGATTGGTTTTTTTGACTCACGTCACAAGGGGAACCTTACTCCTTCCATGCATCGGGCAAGAATTACTTAGAGCCTCCTGAAGCTAGGTTACGTCTCTCAACATATTCATTGATTAGAACGACTTCCTTCCTTCGGTTTGTACGTGGGAAGTTATCGAGTTGAGGGGTGAAAGCTTCTGCAGAATCATTCATTAGCATCTGAGGAATCGGGAGACATATGGCGGCGGGATGAGCGCGACCTCGCTCATATTGTGAGAACTTTTTATTTCTTGAACGAACTGCGAACTGAGCCATATGGAAGGCCTCAACGTGCTTGCGTGTGTATCCATGGACAGTACATGAGCTGAACAGTTTCCAAATATATTCCAAATACAGTATTTTTTCCGTATAGTTTATATAAGTGCCTTATACATTGGAAACCTAGCACCATATTTGGGGGTCTATATATGAACCATATATAATTCCATATTTATTAAGAATGGCCAAAACATGATACGGACTGAACTATATCCAAACAAGGCTAAATTCAGAACTGTACAATCCTATACATACGCCTATATTTGGAAGTTCCGTAAGGGACGTCATAGACGACAACGAATGCAGCATGTTCGTGTGTACTGGGGAGGCGTTTGATAGAAAGACAGTGGACCTCGGATTCGGGGATCCAATCTACTGCGCTCCTCGACGTGAATCTTCAAATCTCACGTGGAATAATAGATTTTTATTGAAATAAATGTATGCCGACTTAATCGCACCTGTGAATCGCAGTAAACATTTGAATATCGAAGCAATTCGATTCTCGTTAATGCCAATACTATCGAGCCGATGTAACCTCCCAGCGATTGCGAAAGGCATCCCTTCATTCTTTAAGTTTAAGGATGCTCGCAAAAAATCGAGACCCAATGTAGGCGCTGCAGCTCGACTTACAGTGGATTGAACCGCGAGAGTCAGAATCCTCGGAATGACATACCGGTGTCGACGGTGCATTTTAGGCGGAGGTCGCCACCTTCCGGAAAGGGACCCACCAGAGTCCCATCGGATACCTTTTTATTCCCATCCCATATGATTGGTCGTCCCGGGGGCTCTGCAACATACGAATTACGATATGTCCGATATGACGTAATAAAATGAAGTTACAGTTGTGTATCCGTAGCTCCTTGAAAAAACTGCACTCGCAACGAACGTTTTCATCGAATAAAAATTATTAATTTTTATTCATAATTACTATGAAAACCACTTCCGTAAACGCATGGTGAATTCTTATTTCATTGAAATATCGACTCGGCAGTTGGTATCTATTGGAAAAAATGTAGCTAGTCAATTAATTCTGCCCGAAGAAGTATTATGCAGGTATAACTGTCTATTGCTTGAATAATGCATGAATTTAGCTTACAGCTGCGAGTCTCGTCAATGATAGATATACCCGGCCCTCATCCATCTTTAACATTTTGTAGTTCCACAAAGACGAGGATACATGACAAGTTTTCAATCATCCACCAGCTCTGCTTCTCCTTTTGATCTGCATGGCCTGCATGCGAAACTTTCTGCCTTCTAGTGCAGGATTTAATGACAGAGGTCAGTCTCAGTTTAACGGTGGAATGATGTGTAGTTACTATCAGTGTAGTCAGTAACTGTTACTATTTCCAAATGCACGAGCTCGTGGTGGTCATCGAAGGGGGCTTACCGATGATTGTGAGATTGACCTTGGTGTATCGAGTGGGTTGTCGTTGGAAATCCACCCTGCATATGTACGAAGCTTCATCTCTGACAGAAACTTCTTGAATCTGGAGAACAGGGGGTTTTTGATGGGGAAGGAAACGGGCTCGACCTCGAATGCTCTCCGACGGTCGATGCGATTCCGACATCACACCCGCACGGGCATCGTATCTGTATTTTCGAGAAAATCAAGAAAAATGAGCCTGGGATCAAGATGCTTGCCGTTCGAGAACTGCAATCTCGGCATGATGGATGGGAAGGCTTTATTTCGTATGCCGAAAGTGCTTCTCACATGTAGATGGGGACGTTCGAGCCGTGGCGGAACCAGAGGACTAGAGTGAGTTGGTCGGTGTCGTAGACGTCACAAGGGAGAGAAGCGATATTCTTCTCTGCTGCGACCCTCTCGTGAACGGATGCTGGAAGGAAATAACATTCACGGAATTCTGCTCCATAATTGCCCAGTCTTCATCAACCCAACATAAAAGGGGAAAGAGGATAAGAGGAGAGGAGGAAGAGAGAGAAAAATCCAGCTGCATTTGGCATTCATGTGACCATAGCAAAGGGGCAGATTCACACGTGCAGACATTCCCAGGCAAGACCATGAGTTCTCCTGCTGAGAAACGCATTATCTGTCTGGGGATGGATTCAGATCATCTGCAGTGATTCCATGGAAGCAGAGCTTTGCGAGACGTTCATGCTTTTGTCTTCCTCCAGTTCTTTCCTCGTTGAGAAAACCTCGGTGAATATTTAATGGGACGGGGAGTTGAACATGAATGTTTGATGTGCCCTGAATCATTCTTCTTCCATTCCTAATCTCTGACTCTTTTCTCCATTCAACTGTTCTTTCGTATTCCTCCTTCTCATATCATTTTCCCGTCCTTCATGTCCTCCTTTCCTTTTTGAGATGAGGTTCATGCATTAGGAAGAGGAAGAGGTATTTTGGATATAAGGTAACACGTGAGGAGAGATATCGTGCTTTCCTTCCTTTCTCTTCGGGGTCGATGATCCACTTCCCAAACAGGCGTATATTAGGAGCCGAGTTAACATTTGGACGATAAGCGAGTCCAATTAGCCTGAAAAGGTTTACAATTTTCACAAATAGAGATTAACTGCTGGATTATAACTGAGCTTTAACAAAAAAAAGGATTGGTCGGGCGACAGGTTCTCTGGAGATAATCTTGTATAACATTACCATGTCTCCTGGAGTACATGAGAGTGATTGCTGGGGGAAGAAGTTGAGACTGCCACTTCGGACAGCACAGCTGTACAGCTCAGCAAGGAACACATGGAATCGCATGGTGGATCACGAATTGCGGAAAGTACTAGGACAAAATTTATTAGGAGGGTCCTCTGGATAAAAACCCTGGGGAGAGGTAGAGGGAATTGAACTGGTAGCCTGTGGATTCTCAGTGTTTCCCAATATTGCTTGGGTCCCACTGCGAAATTTCTCTGACAAAATGCCTGACATAAAATATTGGATTGCGTGAGAGGGCACGCAAGTGTAAATGACGTAAAAGAGATCATGGGAATAGAACAGACGCCAACTCGAAAATAAATTACAAATCTATTGAAAGGCATCCTGACTCCGTGTACAGGTGAATGCTAATTTTTTGAGGGTATTGATGAGGCATATCAATGCCTGTTTTAGAGATATTGTAAAATGATCAGATGGGTCATCTACAATACGACGTACAGCGTTTGCCTGCATCAGGGGTGTCCAAAGTGGATCTTCACAGAGGCACTTAGTACGCTCCATGTACGCCTTGGGCATCCGTGGTCTAATTATTTCAGTCGTCATGTCGTGCTTACTTTATGCGTACGAGTATATATATATATATATATATATATATATATATCCATTCGGTCGCCGTAATTGTAGAGGGCGGCCTAAAAAAAAAATGTAAGTGGCAAAAGTACCAACTTATTTTCTGATAGAAGACCTATGAAAATCAGTGCTGATATTCTTGTTTAGCGCGCTTTTACCTCTTACATTATGCACATGCTCTAATGTATATTTCGAAAAACTAATGTAGAACTCTAATAAATTTTCAAATGTGCTTTTCTCTTATGCAGTTTTGCGTAAATGAACTTTCCAAAAATCGTGACGGACTTTCACTCAACTTTTTGTTCCGTTGCCACCGTCTGAACCGGCGTTACCATTTTTCTTTTTTTCGCCCAGTACCTGGGTACTGTATCTGATATTCCAAAAGGTGCCAATTCGAACTGGTTTGTTATTAGTTCTTAGATCATCAACATTCAACAGTCACCTTTTGTTTAAAAGTATTACATGTTTTCTCATTTTGACCGATTACACAACTCCCCATATTTCAGTGCTTGACAGCATCAACAGCCACACTCTATGTGTGATCCGTTATAAACTCCATACAAAAACAAGTGACCCTTCGAGTTCAAAGGTATATGGAAGATGCGTTTAGCACTCCAATGAGCTGGCATTACTTGATCGGTACTGCTAGTGGCAACTCGGCTCTCGGGAACCAAACGACATACATGCCATTGATTATGATCTGATAGAAGCTCCCACGAGTCTCAGCCTCTCATTGACCAGTGAGAACGAAGCTGCGAGTGCACGAGAACTTCCTCCTTCCTTATTTTAGTTACTCGCTGCCACGATTACCTCCTGATTCCAGAGGAGATAGCGGTCTCCGTGAGGGACCCCATTAGGGGCGATTTATGTCAACAACCCGTCGTTGTGAGGGTACCCTAAAGAAAACCCCCGCTGTTTTGAGGCCAATCAGGGACGATACGTGGCGAAACTCCAGTTCGTACGAGCCACTCGATTTGTGGAATGGAATCTATACACAGACCACATGACTCGTTCGTTCTAACCTCGATATTCTATCCCATTCGCTATATACGAGTATATAACTATCTCCCTTCAGATTCCTTCGGTATTCGAAAATGATTTTCCCTACGACTCTGTCACATTCCCTCGAGCCAACGCTGCTCTTCGCAGTCTCTATTCACTGAGTTTTACACCAAGGAAAAAAAAAATTATATTTTTGCTCTGGAAGTAACGTCAGGATCATAGACGATGCCACATGGGCCTGTGGTTCGGCGCGGCCACGAGTCTAAATTGGATTTTCGCTGGGAAAAGCCGAATAAAAGTCTTCCACGAAAGGTCAATTGCGAGGAAAGAGGAGACAGCACAAGGTCGAGGTAAAGGTGGGGAATCGGAGATGAGAAAGGAAGGTCGAGGACGAAAAGGAGATGGAAAGGGGTCATTCTTCTCCTTTCTCCCTTCCAAGCCCTTCTCGCGAACGTGCTCCGGGTTTCCAATGTTCGAGCGAAGGTAAAGATCCGGAGAGGAAAAGGGAGGAAATGCCATGCCATGCCAGGGCCGACTTAATGGAATTGAGACAAACCCGCCAGACCACAACTCCCACTGATTAATTTGAAATGGAGTCATTAAGCAGCGCTAATCAACTCGTAGACCTCTCCGAGGCATTGCGATGCACGCACTCGTTAGATGCTGTGCGGTACGGGACGCAATGGAGCGATTCATCTCCCTAATGCGCTGCATGCTTTCAAGCACGAAATACTGGAACGAGTCGAGACCTTTCTCCTCTCAGACGAAGCTCCGCGATGTCATGCAACCCCGCTAGATTATGCATCGTGCAGGTGTCCGCCGTTTCCGGAGAAGGATTATCGAGCTTTCCTCGGGGGAATCCACAGATCCGGAATGCGAGCTCGAAGCGAGTGGGTGTACGCTTCTACACCTTCCCGGTAGATTAATCCCGGGTCCATATAGGAGCTTATGGACGACGGACGTACAAAGATCCGAACTTGCGTGCATGAGGCCAATGTGTGCGTGCTCATGCCATCTAATGCATTTTCCAAGCTCTCTCATATGAACCTCATTCACGAATCCCCTTTTACTTCACGTGAGGAATTATTTTGGGAGGCGTTCCTTAATGAGTGCCCGGAATATCGGTGCAAAATGGATCAAGAGATTAACTGGAATCATCATCTTTTTTTTTATCCACTCCACCGCACAAGTGCAATCACGAGAAAGACGACGGATTCATCGCGTACTTATGTCATTGGCCGCAGAAAAAAAAATTTGAGTGCAAATAGAAGTTTGTATTTCTTTCAAGTCGGCATTTTCAACTTCTCATCCGTTCCGCAGTGAAATTCTGAGTGCGTCCTAGTTGATATCCTAATAACGGGAGAAAGGGGCTCGGCCCCTTTTACCACAGCATTTCCATGGAATTTTTATTTAAAGCGCTTTTGGCTCGAGTCGACTCGAGTTACTAAGACACGTTCCCATGGGAGTTTCTTCTACCGAAGCGCTTTCTCCACATGGGGCATGGGAACGAAGTAGAGTCCACGTACCCGCTCAAGCATGCACATTTGCAATCGGGGCAGATCTCGAAGTCAGCTGGTCTCGAGGTCAGCCGGCCTCGAGGTCAACTGGTCTCGAGGTCAACCGGCTTCGAGGTCAGCCGGTCTCGATTGCGCATGAAAAATGGAAGCTTCACAAGCCAAGTCCACTTGGCGCGATTCCATGGCCTTGTTAAGGCGCAATAACCCCTTACAAAACCCCCAAAACCTCTTACAAAAACCCCTTAACTCCCTTACGTCGCTTGGTAGATGTGGCATGTGTTCAGTTGTTTTAAGGATGAGTCCACTTCGTCGCTTCAACGCGTTTCCAAATAGGTTTGAAAAGAGGCAAGAAAGAATCTACAGTTAGAATAATCCAGACTTTATATATTTCCCAGTTTTAGTGTAGTCTGCATACCTGCTTCTTAGAGGATTGTGGATCGTATGCAAATGAAAACATATCTAGCTAATTATTGAATTCTATTGAATCTTTTAGGTTTTTCATTGACATGTTTTTCAGAACTATGAACAATCTGAAAAGAAACAGTTTCCACTGCGACAGAAGTCTAACATGCACTTGAGCAGGAAAAAAAACAAAAAATTTAGCTTCATTCCAGAAGCTCAGCTAGTTTCCGAAGTTCCTTTGTCACTAAGACAGATGCATGTTCCACACTGGGCACGAGACTACGTGCGCTCCAACAGGTGGAAATAACGCCTATGGGGACATCCACCTGGTTCCAAATCCACATGGGAGGTGGACGTTTTGTAAGGGCGATTAAGTACCTGTAGTTGTCATTAATTGTCGAAACAAAACAAGCTGGAACATATTCATTCAAGTGAAAGGTCTAATTGCAATGTCCCAGTAATGCAAGTCTGAACGTGTTCAAGTTAATCATTTTTTTCCGCAAGCAGCAGATTTCGTTCAGTGTTTATTTTGTGCTCTGGTTGAAGCATTTTCTCAGGTCAACAGAAAATAATCAGGTGTTTGATGCTGCAATGGAAGCAAACAGCTGCTATTCATCTGCAATTGCGTCGAGTTTGTCGAGATTCCTGCCTATCAGAGTTCACAATCAGGAGATGGGTGAAAGTTTCCAAAGCTGGCAGAGAACATATTGAAGAGGATTCACGCAGTGGAAGGGAATTAATAGCAAAATGTGGCTACATTTGCGACCTTGTGGACCTTGCTAAATTTGCGACCTTCCTCATGGAAGACAGACGGTAATCGGTCGAGGAAGTAGCGGAACGTTGGGGCATTCTGTGCGGTCTTCTCACACGATTCTGACCGACAAGCACCACATGCAGAAGGTTTATCTCCCTAGATTCCAAGGCAACCCACGGCAGACCAGACAGTTGTACGAGTGGATGTCTGCCCATGGACAAACATGGAGAAAACTCCGACTTCTCCGAGAAGGCCATGCGTTCTTGAATAGGATCTCCAAGATGAATGAGACCAGAATACCTCTCGATAACTCCGAGATGAAACGCTCGAGGGGACAATGGAAGCCCAACCACCAAAGCCTATCACCTCCAAGAAAATTCAAGGTGTCCCCATCAACAGGTAAGGCCATGTACACAATGTTTTGGGATTGTGCGTCATTCGCTACAAGCCCCTGCTAGCAATTGCAAGAGAGAGACCCTTTCAAAACGGCCACCTGAATCCACCTGGGCTGAACGGTTCCTTGCATTAAGTTAGGTAAAAATGTATTTTCATTTAAAATTACAATTATGAATGCATATCGGTGCAATATTTTCTGCAATATTAGATGAATATCGTTCCATGTTTTACACAATGTTGGGATCAATATTGTCAAATATTTATTGGAATAAGAATGGCAATATCGGCAGCCAATCTTGGGCTAATCTGTTTAAGATTGGCTGCCAACGTTCTGCCAATAAAGTCTTTAAACTGGAATAAAACAATAGATTATAAAACTCTCAATTTCTTAAGTTCCTTTTCATCACAGAGTATTCAATTTTGTAATATAGGGTGCTCAAAAAGAAACACACCACCAATTTTCAATGGGAGATAGATAAAATTCACTTCCATGGGAAAAATCAATCCAGATTTCATTCCAGTTAGTGTTTTTTCTTATTTTTTTAAAGAACGCAATTTTGAGAATAAAGCATACAGTAGATGGTCCAATTCGACTCTCACGATTCAATTATATTTTTTAATCATTGATAAAATGCAATGATTCATCACCAAAAAGAAATATTTGATTCGAGCCAGATGTGACTTTTCCAGATTCGATGAGGGATTACGAGTGAAAGTACTAAGATCTGAGTTATTTGACTTAATTTTTAAAATTACTATTTGAATTATCTCTTTGCTGATGATTCATTGAGTTCATCATGGAGCCAGTCTTGCAGCTGAACTATGGATGTGTTGCACTCGCCAGGGTCTCCTTATTCCACCTTCTCGCCTACTCAGCTTGCTGCTGTTCCAGATGCACAAAAGGATTTCAAAGGATACTGGGATGGGTTCTAGGAAGAACATTCGTTTACATTAGAGATGCGAAAGATTCAATTCTGTTCAGCTTCTAAATGGATCTTCATTTCAAAGCAATGGTGGCTCGAATATGATTGGCATCTCATAAAAGTCTGATTCGGGTGTCTTTGGGAGAAGGAGTACCGAATAAATTATGCCAATTTCCGCACAAAGCCAAGATGATCTTTTTTCAGGACTTCCTCCAGTCAACTTTGAAAGACTTGGGTACCATGTTCAAGGAAAAAAGCACGGACGTCATCCCACCTCTATTTCCCAAAAAAACCTCTTCAGTATAAGATACCACGGATAAATATCCACGCTTGTATAGCCAAAGGCTTGTTGAAGTACGGGGGAGGGGGGGATGGGGTCGGATTGGACGCGATTATAACATGAAATAGAGGGAGGTTCTACATTTGAGGTTCTTCAACAATGATAAAATCTCATCTGGCAGAGTTCACACGAGACGGAATACCCCATGGAAAGTGGATGGGGAGATACCCTTTTTATGGCCTTTGCGTAACTATATTTATAAATGCATGTGAAAATGAGACAACAGGGCGAGAATGCACTAAAAGGATATATATTGAACCGTTGAAATATTCGCGATACGAACGCACTTTGACGGATTCCTGGGTGAATCGCCATTTCAACCCACAAATTGTTCTCACGAATTGCATTTGAGTTTCATTCCTGCTCGAGTACGGTATACTATGAGAGTGAGACGCACGCGACGGACTCCATTTTCGAGTCTCCTTCCACCCAGATCCCATCATATTCTAATACCTTTCCACCAGACCTCACTGACGTCAAAAAGGGAATAACTCAGAAAAACAACAATCGCATGCTATTGTATCATACTGGACATTGTGAATTGGTTATAGGTATACCTATAACCAGTTCACAATGTCATTCATAGAACTTAAAGTTTTATTTCTATGAATTCTATGAATGTCCGAAAGGTTCATGAGTGATCTGGGTAAAGGAGAAGAAAGACTCGGGAAGGTGGCTGGTTAAAATATATAGACAGAGTGAAAATCCACCTTCCATTAGTGTCAATTCGACTGCAACAAGGTGAGTTTGTTAGTAAGTGTATGCACGTGCATCTGCCCGTCGTTCCCAGCCACTTTTTCTTACCTTTGGGAGCATCCGATACCTCTATCTCTGATATTGAAGGTATGCAAGAACATGGCGTGGATCATAAAAATAAATTGTTGCCGTGAAAGCATCAGCGAGAACAATAGAAACGTGTCCTGTCAAACGCTTTATAAAACCCACTGTGGATGATCTAGGTTTTAGATTTGTTCGTTTCACGTTGAAAACACTCCAAAATTGGTTTCCTGAAATTCTCATGGGTCTAGGTTGTCTGGAAAAAAAACTGCGACAGTCATTCAAAGTGGACTCGAAATTGACATTTTCCGCGCATTATGTGCACGGAGTTTGAGCACTGTGAAAATCGTTCCACTCCATTGACACCACAAAGACTGCTTTTTTGTCTTGTCCTCGTTGTAGTCGTTGTAGTATTAACATTTTTGAAATACCGCGTATACTGTAAGTAAAATACTAGTTTCAATAAATTTTTTAACGCCCCTCGTACGACGAAGACATGGTATAAAAAGCAGCCTATACGTTGCCAAAAGAGAGAAAACCTTTGCACAGTGCTGAAACTCCATCAAACTCATACGCGGAAATGGTTGCTCCACTTTGAATGACTGTTGCTTTTTTTCAGACAATCTAGACATATGAAACTTTCAGAATTCAAAACGTGTAGTGTTTCCAATGTAATACGAAAAACTCACGAACCTAGATTATCCACAGGGTATTTTTGGTCCTCTCTGTATGGTCACATCGTAAATTTAAACTTAAAGTGAAATATTAAGCCCTCTCGATAAAATGTCGTATATACGAGACCACGCTCGTGTTAAGAGAAAGTGACACCTAATATACCACCTTGATAGATGGAAGAAGAGATTTTGCCCCATCATGAACGATGTACTCAATAGATCGACAGGAAGTACGGTCGGAGTATTGGGAGAAAACATTTCCCAACCCACCCCCAGGTAATTTCCAGGAAAGAATTTTTGAACAAGCACCATGAACAAGCGCCAGATAAGTCCATGCTTCGCTCAAGGTGCAATAAAAAAAAAGGATCTTGCCGTTGTGTGACTATGGCCTCCCCTTAAGGTGTGAAATATAACACTCCGATAGGGGATTTACAAACCTGACTGCTTTTTTGGTTACTTACATGAATGAATGCCATGTGTTTCCTAGAAGGAAAAGGGCGCCGCCAAATAGCCTACAAACGGGCTAGGGAGAGCAAGTGAGATGGAAAGAATGCGAGGAAGTTTCAATCTTCGCTTTCGCTGGAGACAAATAAATCTCCACCGCGACACAGGCACGATTCACATGCCAGTCCTCGTGGGTGCGGCCATCACTCAGCGAATCTACCATGCTCAAGATGTTCAACTGTTCTCGGATTGAATTCGTATCCACCACTACCTCTCCTCTCCCCCTCCTCATCGGAGTGCTTCCATCGATTGAAGGGAAGGGACATCTTCCACATTGATGTTTTCATGGAATATCTGACGAAATACTCATATCCTTTCATGCTATGAATATATGACGTATGACGTAGTGCAAGCAAAACGTAGACGTATGACGTAGTGCAAGCAAAACGTAGACGTATGACGTAGTGCAGATTCAAGCAAAAGAGGCTGAGAACAAGTTCTGCGCTTGTCATTACAATACTGACGATCAAGAGGTTTTTCTTGTTAACAATGGAAACAGGAAATTGGAGTTTTCCTTAACTCTTTAGTTAATTACTTTCATTTCAAAATTGTTTAACCCTGCATGAGTGCATCCCATGACTCGGTAGGAGCTTCAGCTAGGGTAACTTCATCAACTATTGGGACTGTTTCGACACTTTCAACATTCCACAAGGGGAGGTTCATTATCGTTACGGCTGACTCCACTTCTCCCATCTCATCAAGGTAGGGCTTTCCTAACCTATTGGGGCATGAATTCATTAAAGTAATTCTACAAATTAGATTAGATTTTGAAACAATAACAGAGAAGGAAAACACGCAGGGAAATTTACCTACCCACTCCGTCTCTCTTGAAGAAAACCTAATTTCCTCTCACTCCACGGTACATTCGAACGTGGCCAAATTTCAGATGGGTCCTTTTCTTGGACATGGGCTCAAAAGACTGCATAATGCATAATCTTCGCGAAGAGAGCAGGTGCCAGGAAGGGAAAAAAATTGAGGAAGGAGTGGAGTGGTGAGGGGAGGAGAGGAGAGGAGAGGGGAGAAGGAGAGAGAGAGAGAGAGGTGGGGGGACCGGGCGAGAGGGCGAGAAAGATGTCAAGAGCAGCCGACGGGTTGTTGGCATGAGAAGTGAAGCCTCCCTCCCAATATCATATTCCTCCTCTTGCTCTTATAAGGAGCCCATGTCTACTGTCAAACTTCTTATCCTGTCAGTCTTCTTCTCCTCTTCGGGGAGTGATTCCTGGCCAAGACAGTACCTTGTCTGTGCAGTGTCAGTGGTCTATGCATAGTGAGGATCACATTCTCTTAAGTTATTAAACAAAGCTATTGGACAAACTTATGCAAATAGCAAGCTTCCGGCTGCAAAAGTTACACAGATCGCATCAAATGGTGTGTAATCCTATAGAACGGAAGAAGCATTCAGGGTTTTTGTCAATGATGGACACAAACAGCTTCAAAAATGGTTTAAAAGTCAGTTCTTCTGCAGGTCAGAGTAGTTAATCAAACCACCTCAAACCACCTTCTTAGTACGATTGGTCAACTGAACGTACTTATTTGAAAGATATGTATTTAATTTTTTAAAATACAGCCTCCCGATGAATTATTCTTGCATGGTAATCGAGTTTTTTATTTATTGGATGTTTGCATTTGGACCAACCGAAGGT